CATTTTCTTTCTGAGATGAACCTGGACCTTTTTCTTAGATAGTATATCCATGACTATCTCCTTTCCCATTTTTTTCCTTGAGCCAATGAAGCGCTTGAGGGCTGACAAATGCTTTTGGTAAGCCTTTCCAGCCAGAAGCCCTACCTCCTCACCATCCCTCATCCCCTTACCCTGCACCCATTCCTGGTGGATGGATGAATTTAAGCCATGGCCCTCTGAGAGGTCAAGGACACAGAACTCCAGAGAGATCCAGTCCTCTGCATTTCCTAACTCACCGGGCAGTCCTGACTCTACAAATTCCCACCACATTCCTGTTCCCTCTTCTGGGAAATATGTCTGGATCCAAGGTTGTTCCCAAACCTCCTTACGTCTGAGCACTAATGGCTGCACATCTTACAAACCTGATGAGAGAGAGAGCAACTGGGAGTCAGTGTTCCTATATGGACTGATTACATGAGTGCTCTTGTGGCTTTGGGGATGGGTTATAGGGACCTGAATCTGAGACACACTGCAGATGCACATCAATGAACTAATTCACAAAGCAATCAAGGTAAGTAGCTCCCAGAATGCCTGGTAGGCATAGCATAAACTGTGTGGATCACGACAAGCTATGGATAGCATTGGGAAGAATGGGTATTCCAGAACACTTAATTGTGCTCATAAGGAACCTGTACATACACTAAGAGGCAGTCATTCAAATAGAACAAGGGGATACTGAATGGTTTATAATCAGGAAAGGTGTGCATCAAGGTTGTATTCTTTTACCATACTTATTCCATCTGTAGCCTGAGCAAATAATCCGAGTAGCTGGATTATATGAAACAAAACACAGCATCAGGATTGGAGGAAGACTCATTAACAACTTGTGATATGCAGATGATACAACCTTGCTTGCTGAAAGTGAATTAGGACTTAACATACTTGCTGATGAAGATCAAAGACAACAGCTTTCAGTATGGATTGCATCTCAATGTAAAGAAAACAAAAATCCTCAAAACTGGACCAGTAAATAACATCATAATAAATGGAGAAAAGATTGAAGTTGTCAAAGACTTCATTTTGCTTGGATCCACTATCAACACTCATGGAAGCAACAGTCAAGAAATGAAACAAAATATTGTATTAGGCAAATCTGCTGCACAAGACCTCTTTAAAGTGTCAAGAGCAAAAATGTCAGTAAGGTACGCTTGACCCAAGCCATGATATTTTCAACAGCCTTAAATACAAGTGAAAACTGGACAATGAATAAGGAAGACCATAGAAAAATTGATGCATTTGAGTTATGGTGTTGGAGAAGAATATTAAAAATACCATGGACTGCCAGAAAACAAGCAAATCTGTGTTGAAAGAAGTATAGCCAGAATGTTTCTTAGAAACCATGATGGAGAAACTTCATCTTTCATACTTTGGAAATGTCAGGAAGGACCAGTCCCTGGAGAAGGACATCATACTTGGTAAAGTGGAGGATCAGAGAAGGAGATGGATAGACACAGTGGCATCAGCAAGGGGCTCAAGTGTAACAACATTTATGAGGATGGAGGATGGTGCAGGACCGGGCAGCATTTTGTTCTGCTTTGCATGGGTCGATTATGAGTCAGCATTTTGTTCTGCTTTGCATGGGCTCATTATGAGTCAGTATTTTGTTCTGCTTTGCATGGGTCGATTATGAGTCAGCATTTTGTTCTGCTTTGCATGGGTCGATTATGAGTCAGCATTTTGTTCTGCTTTGCATGGGTCGATTATGAGTCAACATTTTGTTCTGCTTTGCATGGGCTCATTATGAACATTTTGTTCTGCTTTGCATGGGCTCATTATGAGCTTGAACAGGTCGGCTGTTCAAGCTTACCAGCTGCTCCTCAGAAACCCTATACAGGGTCACTGTGGGTCGGAATGGACTCGCTGGCACTCAGTAACAACAACAATAGCACAAACTCAAGGCTTCCCAGGCCAAAAGAGGGGTAAATGGATTGTAAGTTGGAAAAGCTGGGTCTAGAGATGGCGCAGTCCAATTTCCTCAGTTTGCAGATAAGTCAGGCCCAGATGAAATTAATCAATTGTTACAGATAATAGAATAGTCATTAGCTTTGGGAGGGAGTATTGAGGAGGAACAAGAAAGCCCACTGGGATGAAGACATTCTTCTCTGTCTTAACTTGGGTGGTTATTATAGAGGTTTATGCAAATACAGCAATTTATTGAACTGTACACTTAAGATTTGTGAACTATAAAACTATACGTCAATATAAGTCATACTTAAGTTCCTGCATCCATAAAGACAAACCAATGGTACAGAGAAGATTAAGGTAATGATACCTTAATCTTAATCATTGCAAATATGTGGGAAGACCAAGTCGAGGCCTCCTATCTCCTGATGGCCAGTTCACTGCCCTTACCCCTACTCTACTGTATTTTTGCTATGGTGGATTTTGATCAGAGCAGTAACCCATGGCAAATAAGTCATGAGGTCAAAGAAAGTCAGTCCAATGTAGGTTGGGGCTAGAAGCTTGAGGTTGCTTACACTGATTGAGAATCAGGCTTAATGTGTAGTAATAATATTATTACAACAATAATAACGCTCACCTTTATTGAGCACTTACTAGGAACCAGGCACTATTTTAAATGTCTTACATGTATTTAATCCTCACAATAATCTATATTATTAAATCACATTTTGCAAATTAGAAAATAGGCCCAGATATATAAATGTGATCACAGTTTCACAATCAGAAAATCTTAGAGCTGGAATTTGAATCCTGGCAACCTAGCACCAGAATCCGTGCTTTTAATTACAACACAGATGGCCTCATATTGAATCATCTGCAGCTGGTGCAGGACTGGCAGTCTCTCTCTGTTCAGGCTGATACCCACCATACCCACCCTTTGTCTAGTGGTCCAGATAAACACCCACCCCTGTGGATATTTAAGTTTGTTCAAAGAAAAATTATCACCTGGATCATAAGTAAATTCCTGGAATTTCCAAAAAAGTCAAAGCTCTTGTGACCTGGCTGTCTTAGTTCACATTCAGGTACCACATGAGTATGTTCTGGGCTAAACAGCCAGATGCCTGATAGCACTGATAATCAGGAAAATGCAAATAAATGCAATTTAATGCAAATTAAGACCATAATGTACTACTACTATCCTGCCGTGCTCCCAAATGGCTATAGTTTTGAAGACAGACAACAATATTAAGTGTTGATGAGAGTTGGGAGCAACTGGAACTCTAATATATGGTGAGTGGGAGTAAAAATGGGTACAACCACTATGGAAAAATGTTTAGCTCGTGTCTACTAAAGCTACGCAGTTGACTCAGCAATTGTAACCCCACATATGTAACCAACTGGTGTGGCACTGTGGGTTAATGCGCCAGACTGCAAAGTCATTTGAACTGCAAGGTCAGCGGTTCAAGCTCACCAGCTGCTCCTTGGAAACCCTATATAGGGTCGCTATGGGTCGGAACTGACTCGAAGGCACTTAACAGCAAAAACAGCATATGTGACCAACAGAAATGGGTGTATATATGTGCCAACGACATGAGTAAGGATGTTCATAGCAGTTGTATTCATAATAGTACAAAACTGTCAACAATACAAATGTCTATAAATGGTAGAATAAATAATGAAGTATGTTGTTTTGGTTGTTGTGTGCTCTCGAGTTGATTCTGACTCATATTGACTCTGTTTATGGTTTCCGAGGAGCAGCTGGTGAGTTTGAACCACCGACCTTGCAGTTCAAACCTGACCTTGTGATCAAGTGCTTATCCTACAGTGTTACATTGAAGTAGGGCATATTTATAAAATGGAATCCTATACAGTAATGAAAATGCACAAACTACAACTCACAAACATGACGAAAGAAAGAAGCCAAAGTGAGTATATACTATCTGATATTACTTATATAAAGTTCAAAATCAGACAATAAGCTTTTTTCTTTATCTGAGTGCTGGTTACATAAAATATGTTTCCTCTGTAAAAATTCACTAAGCTGTACACTTACAGTTTGTATGCCTTCTGTTTGTATGTGAAACTTCAATAAAATCTTTACAGAAATAATCACCATCGATTTGAAGATGTGACAGCATTGTAGTAATAAAAAACGAATTGCTATAGTTTAATTTGCTGATTTGCAGTTGACATCACAGAAGCTTAGCCCACCAAAATAATGAGGTACAGAAATCATAATGCAACCCCCTGGAAGTCTTTGTGTTCTTACATAAAGTAACACAAATATCATCACGTTCTTCAGTCATGTGTTTAGGCAGGTAACAACACTTTGAAACACTAAATTGCAATTGCACAAAGATTCATATCTGATAGTCAGAGATATGTAATTTTTATCATTATGTATTTCTGGGGTTAAGATAACAAAGTCTGAAATGGTTGTTAAGTCAGAACAGGTCAGTCTATAGTACTCTAGGTCACTTGTTGTCCACTGCACATTGTTGAATAGACTATTTCCCTTACTTGTGTCTCGGCATCCTCTTTGGGAATCTGAGAACTAGATCATGAATGTAGAATTTTCCAGGGTAACTTATTTTCCTGGTAGCACACCTTCATTCTTTAGCAGGTGAAGGTCATAAGAACTGGAAAGGAGTCCCAAAGCTATAAATTTTGGCTTCAGCTATGATGCACCAAAGGGTTTCTGAAATACACTCAGAGGGGTTCTTGAGTCATCCAAATGTTTGGGAGAAGCCCTAGATCCATCCCTCTAGAGGAGGGAGTAGCTCCTGGAACCAGGACTGTGACGTATCCATAACTTTCCCAAAGGAGGTATTCCTCTTTGAAAAAAGTCACACTGCCTTCAGCCCACCCCATCCTAGCATCCGAGCATCTACTCCTCCAACCTCCTTTCAAGCAAGTCCAGTGTGACCACCCTCATTTTTTCATAGGTACACATCCTAATGAACAGCCTGTTTGCCTCTGGACCCAATGTATGACAGCTTTCCCCACATCAGACACACCCATGCACACACCCTGTCACTTGGCTCCCTCAAGAGACTCACCTGGGGCGTCATCCCATGGCAGATGTACATAATGGGAACATTCTCTGTGTCTGGTCCCTGATCAAGACACAAATCAGTCTTCAGGGAGTTCTGCAGCTGAACATCACAGGAGAGATGGCCACACCAAAGAAAAAGAAAGAGAAAGTAATTGCATTAAATCAGGAGAAGCAGGCATTCCACAGCCACATACTCTGTTTCCAGCATCCACCCAAGGCCCATTGAATATTATGGAAAGCAACAAGCATGAGATTTTGTCTTGCCTTAAGGAGCTGAGGAAAGATCAGCGTCCTTTGAAGGGACAACATCCACATCTAGTTAAATAGCAAACTGTGTTTTGAAAGCGTGGTGGTGGTGGTGGTAGTGTGCCGTGGAGTCGGTTCCAACTCACAGCGACCCTGCATAGGGTTTCCAAGGCTGCAGATCTTTACAGGAGCAGAAAGCCTCATCTTTCTCCCGTGGAACAGCTGGTAGTTTCGAACTGCTGACTGTGAGGTTAGCAGCCTGACTTGTAACCACTACACTACCAGAGCTCCTTTTTGAAACAGTAGATAGGGTGAAAATAAATGATACACACATACACATAAATGGTGGTAGGCTCTTAATTCCCAGTATTTCCACAGGGGTGGTATGATGGCCTTCGGTGATCCATGGAGATAAGTCTTTGCCTCTGGGAGTTGGGCAAAGTGTGTAACATGTTAGCTGTGTTCAGGTCTAGGGCATCCTCTGGGACCAGGGCCTTTCAGCCTCTTGCAGATCTAGCGAGAGTTTTGCCATAGCAGATAAGGGGTCTCCAGAACAGGTCTGATGAAAGGATAAGACAGAAGGTATTCCTCACTGTCTCCTACAGCCCCATGGCAATGTCTGGGTAAGAGTTCCAATATTCAACTTTCCCTTCAGGCTTAAGTTCACTCTTAGCCTACAGAAAGGGCACAGTCCACAAGACTCTGATCACCAGTCAACTGAGAAGATCGGTGGACACCCATCTACAGCTTATACTGTGTTATTAATTCACTTTCCTTTCCTGTCTCCCCTCCATCTTCTCTCTCTGGAGTCTGACCATCTCATCATTCATTCTCGAATCCTGTTTTAGGAATCTAAATAAGAGAACTGGAGACTGCAGTCAGTGGGTAGTGGCCAGTGATATTGGAAATGAGGACCTATGTGTGCAAGCAGAGAAGCCAACTGTGATCAAGGAGAGGCAGACAGACTTAGACAGGAGAGATCACTGTGCCCTAGCCATGGCTCTCAGCTTGAGTACTCTCCTGGTCCAGCATATTTCAGTTTCCAATCCATAAAGAGCCTGGCGGGTCTACCTTCTACCATCCTTAACCTGAGCTAGCTGAAATGCACTTCTCACCTTAGCAATCAAAAGAGATTCACTCCTTTAGTTCAACTTTGAACGAAACACTAGACAGGCCTATGAAGTGAATCATAGCATCATGGAAAAACAGACATCTTAGAACACTCAACCACAGCAGACCAAAAGGCAGCATTTACCCCCAAACAAACTCGGAAGGCAGGAAAGGACAGGAAAGAAGGATGAATGGAAACAGAAACCAAGAGAGAAATTGGGAAGAGTACTGTTACATTATAAGGAGCTCTGGTAGTGTAGTGGTTATGAATCAGGCTGCAAAGCACAAGGTCAACAGTTTGAAACTACCAGCTGCTCCATGGGAGAAAGATGAGGCGTTCTGCTCCTGTAAAGATTTACAGCCTCAGAAACCCTGTACAGGGTCGCTATGAGTCAGAACCGACTCCATGGCACATAACAACAACAACAACAACTGTTACATTGGAGATTGCAACCAATGTCACAAAACAAAAATGTGTGTAAATTGTTGAGTGAGAAACTAATATACTCTGTAAACTTTCACCCAAACCACAATAAAAAGTTTACAAAAATATATCTCTCTTCAGTGGACTGCAGGTGGGTCATCTACCCGGAGAAGGGCAGAGACAAACAGTGGCTGAGTTTTTGTAGTTCTGATGTCTTGTGACAGAAATGGGATGAACTCAATGAAGGGGCATGAAATGAACCAGAAAACCAGAAGCACACATGTGCTCTGTACACACGCTGCTCTTCACAGGGAACAAGGGACAGAATCAAAATCCTCTCTCCTGACCTTAGAGATCTGAAGACAATCTCCCCAGACAGGGGCCCCAGAAGCATCTATGCTGCAGATTTGGCACTGTAAACTGGCTGTGGCTTGCCTGTGTGCGGGGAACACACATAAACACATTCTGGACTTCTGCTGAGGGTGGAGGGGTGGGTATCACATCTAAAGCCAAGTGAGGCAATCCATTAGTGAGACCTGTTGTTATTGCAAAGAGAAGGCCCAGAGGGTCCTGGCGTCAGGCTTGTTTTTCCCGTGGGTTCGGGTGAGGGGGTGTGTGCCTTTTAATAAGTGTCCCTGGCTCTGGGTCACCCCTCTTCATTAAGTAGGTGGCTTAGTGATGTGTTTGAGACAGATAGACTGGGACCGGGATTCTGGCTCCAGCTGTGTGGTCTTTACTCTTTACTGTCTGTTTTCTTTTCTCTAAAATAGGGATGATCATAGTGCTGACCTCATAGGGCTGTTAGGAGGACTAAGTGAAACAATACAAGTGTTGAGTGCAGGACCTGACAAACAGCAAATGAGTAATAATTGTTAGCTGCTATTAGTCCTGCTATCACCTTCCTGAGAGCCATTTGGGGAAACTGGCTTTATGAATGCATCTGCATGCCAGGTACCAGGTGAAGTACGTTCCATAGGTTAGCTCATCTAAGCCTCAGAATACTCCAGCCAGGTGGGTAACATGATCTCTTTAAAGGATGAAGGACGGTGGTGTAATGCTGATCCAGTTGTGAGGATGCTTCCACATGCTGGCTTGGCTTCTCTTTGCCTGACTAAACCCTCCTCTTCCGCTTCTCCTTAGGGCCTCAGCTTATCTTCCACTTTGGAAGACTTCCTTGACACAGCCTGGGGGTAAGGCCTGCTCTACAATTCACTAGCACCTCCCCCCCACCCCCCCATTTCTCTTACAACGTTGTTGTTGTTAAGCGTCGCCAAGTTGGTTCTGACGCATAGCGACCCTAGTTTCCAAGGAGGGGCTGGTGGGTTTGAACTGCTGACCCTGTGGTTAGCAGTTCAGGGCTCATCCTACAGCACTACAGTGGGACTACTCTTTTACTATGTTGTTGTTAAGTACCGTGGAGTCGGTTCCGACTCATAGTGACCCTGCACAGGGTTTCCGAGGCTGTATATCGAGCAGAAAGCCTCATCTTTCTCCCACAGAACCGCTGTAGTTTCGAACTGCTCAAAACAAAACACCAAACCAGTTGCTGTCCAACTGATTAGGACTCATGGTAATGCCGTGGGTTTGCAATGACTAATTTTTCAGAGGTAGCTCACCAGGCCTTTTCTTTTGTTGCTGTTGCAAACTTACAATACAAACATACACCAATTCAGCAGCTTTTACATGTTCCATTCAGCGACACTGATGACATTCTTGGAGTTGTACAATCATTCCCATTCTCCTTTTCTGGGTCGTTCTTCACCCATTTCACAGGAACTCACCATGCTCAGGTTCCTGTCTATCTTTCCATCTGCTGTTACTACTTTTACCTCATATAGATAGTTCATAAAAGAGCATAATGCTTAAGGCAGATCTCTCTCTCTCTCTCTCGTTTATTTTTAAATAGTTAAGCCAAATTATTGTTTTGTTTTAGGAAGATTTTAGGGGATCTTTTGGGTTTAAGGGGCAATTATTTCAGGAGCTCATTCGACCTTCATGGTCCCAGGAAGTCTGGGGTTTATGAGAATTTTAAATACTGTTCTACATTTCCCCAATTTTAATCAGGATTCTTCTATGGAATCTTGGATCAAAATGTTCAGTAGAGGTCCAGGGGCACCATCCAGCTCTGCTGGTCTCATGGCAAAGAAGCAGTTGTTCATGGAGGTAATCAGCCACATCCTATACCCTTCTTCCTCAGTTGTTCCCAGTTAATAGAGACCAATTGTTGTGTCTTAGATGGATACTTGCAAACTTATAAGACCTTAGGCACTACACATCAAACCAGGAGCTAGACACAATCAGCAGCCATATTATTAGGCCAATTCTTTTGAGGCACCTCTGGGTGGCCTTGAACCACCAATCTTTATGTTAGTAGTTGAGTGCATTAACTGTTTGCACCCCAGAAGGACTCTACTGTAGCACTTAGTATATCTTGTTGCTTCTTCACTAGAGTGGGGTCAAAGTCTTTCTCATCCTTTATCCCACACCGGTCGGGCTCCCAGTTGTCAGGTGCATGCAAGCCGGTGCCGATTACACAGCAGCTCCATGTGACAGTAGAGCTGCCCCACGGCGTTATTTTCGGTTGTAATCTTTACAGAAGCAGGCTGCCAAGTCTTTCTCCTGCAAAGCCTCTGGGTGAATTCAAACCACTAAACTTTGGATTAACAGCTGAATTCTTAACTACTGTACCACAAGGACAGACAGTAGACACTAAATATTTATTGAAGAAAGTGAACAGATGAATGGGATTCCCAAGGTCTCACAGTACAACATGCAGCTGAACTGGAGTCCGTCTGACTCAAAACCCCAAGCTCTTTCCATCATGCAAATGGCTGGAATTCTGAGACTGGAAAAGATGCCAAATAAAATGGCGTTACTAGGACACTGAAGATTTTGCCAATTGCCAACGTTACACGGTGAATAAATGGCAAAGCTAGTATTTAGAATCCAAGCACGCCTGCCTCCAAGATGTTGCGCTGCTTGTCCTGCCAGCACCAGGGCAGGATTAATTCAAAGGGTCGCTATGAGTTGGTACCAACTCAATGGCACCTCACAACAACAACAACAACTCACATCTGGGTCTGTAGTTCAGTGGTCCCAGGGACACCCATGCTCACACAACAGGACCCACTGCCCTTCTTCCTGTAGCAGTTATTTATGGAACCTATTAATGGGCACTAGGGGGCTGGGCAATAGACTTGATACTGACCCAACTGTGAGTCCCAGGAGAAGTTATTGATTGGAACAATGCAGTTTGGGCACGAGTTGGAAAGAAATAAAAAGAAACTCTGTACCTGAGTGGATTTTAGATTTCTTCATTTCAGAATGAAGGTAATCATCAGGCAGAATGATTCCAATGCAGCAAATCTCTTGCCTCCTGTGGCTGCATCCTGCTTCTCCCTCTTTACCCAGTTGCTCACGTGAAGGGCTCATTATGCTCTTTGCAAGCAAGCATATTCTCACATAAGCGTATTACTACTCATGTAAGAATATGATTCTGTATACGCCACTTACTATTTAATCAGCCAAAGGCTTGGGGTGTGGCATTGAGGGGGGAGGTGCTGCATGTAAACCCGCTACACATGTACATAAAGTAAGACATTGATGCCTTTACGCAAGACCCAGAATTACAATGGGCCCATGCACACACTCCTCTGCTGTGGCTTCCTCTGTATCTCTGGGTAAGTTTGGCTAATCCTGTTCAGCTACTCTGGCAGCACAGTGGAGAACATGAGTCCAAAAGTTTGCTATGACTCACAGGCTTTGGGTCAATAGTTTCTCTGGAGCCATAGTAATATAACTATCATGTTAGACTGGTCCAGGACTAGCCATTCAGAACACACACCAATAGGACAGTGGAGGGCCATCAGCAGAAGCTGTGTCCACAGGCTCCTTATGGGGATGTAGATGGGGCTGATGGGCACTCCTCGGGCCAGTGTGTTTCCATGGTGATGAGAGGAGCTGGAACTTCAGAGAAGAGCAGGGCAGCATCAGCTGAATAGTCTCCTGACATATGATATGCACCAGTCTGAGAAGGGGAGAGGCAAGAGGCTGGTGGGCAGATCTCCTCCTACAGGCTGGCCACCTAGACAACAGAGGCCCGAGATGTTCACAGATCCTGGCTTTGTCTCCTTTAGAATCCCAGGACATTAGCCTTGGGAGACCCCTAAATAACATTGAGTCCAATGTCTCAGAAAGGTGTCTGAGGCCTCTAGGCCAATGCTCTGCCCATTTGATTTTCCTGGCAAGGCAGACTTTAAATAGTGCTGAACACAGGTCATCAGTGGAAGAAACCTCAGTTCTGTTTTGTTTTCATCCTGGAGTATTAAAAACATCTAAGGGAAGACTCTTCAAAGAGGGGTATCAGAATGGTATCAGAAGTTGGTGCTGTGAACTCAGTTTCACCGTTTATAAGTTGTGGGTGGTACAAACCATTAAACGCTTGGCTATTAACCAATAATAGTTTGTAGGCTGGTGGTTTGAATCTGCTCAGAGGTGCCTCCGGAGAAAGGCCTGGCATTGTACTTCCAAAAATCAGCCACTGAGAACTCTGAGGAACACAGGTCTGCTCTGACACAGATGGGGTTTCCATGAGTCTGAATTGACTCAACAGCAGCTGTTTTTGTTGAAAACATGGGCAAGTCACTTTGCCTCTCTCTTTCCCTGTCTAGAAAAAAAAGCTATAGAGGAAAGCCCTGTATTGTTTTGATGGTAATGTTGAGGACTTAACTGATAGTAAGCATAAAACAAACTTCATCTGTTAACAGTGTAACTCAGCTCAAATCAGGTGAGAAACCAAAAAAGCAATCAACTAACATTTAAAACATCTTAAGAGTTGTATGGTGCTGGGGATATGAATGCAGCAGTTTATTAACTCAAAGTATTTTAACTCGAGACAGAAAATACATTTAAATATCTTAAATTTTCTTCTACTTTATGGAGACATTGTTTGTTTACCCTGTTTAACATAAGAAGACACTGATGTTCATAGAAATTAAGACACTTATCTGGGAAGATTCATGGTCCACCTGACTTCAAACCCTATGATCCACCCCTTCCCATTCTACTGCTTCCTGCCAGGAGAACTGCTTTGTGTAAGTGATGCTAAAAGATCCCTTAAAATGCAGTGAACTCAAGAGTGTTTCATTGCTCAGAACTCCTTTCAGAGAGGCTCTGTATGTGGTTGTTGTTGCTGTCAATTTTGACTCATAGTGACCCTATATAGGGTTTCCTAGGAGTGGTTGGTGGGTTTGAACTGCCGACCTTGTGGTTAGCAGTCCAGTGCCTATCCTACAGTGCCACACCAGGACTCCCTGTACATAGTTGGAAGGCATAAAGCCCTTGGATTGGGCAGGTACGTGAGGCGGTTGAAAGAACCTCCAAGAACGGAAACTTGGGTACCACCAGTGTTTGTTACGCTGCCTTACAATCTTCAGCAAGCTGTAGTCCCTGACTGCTCCAGCCTTCCAAGTCCAGGACACAGTGCCTCCTGAAGTGGCCATGCATTGTGAACACCCAGATTCAGGCACACAAGGCAATACAGAAGATTGGTGATTATGCACAAGGAGGAGAGATGGACCAAGGGAATGGGCAGATCTCAGCTGTGGTAGCCTAGGCTGCCTCACTGCTGCAGAAACCAGCTTCTCACGGGCCCTCATGTGGGAGAGGCTCCTCATCCGTTCACCTTACTGCCTGTGTCTCTCTCCTGCCTGGTTCTGTGTGCATCTTGAGTGGAGCACTGAGGAGAAGGCTCCTTACCACCCCGTAGGCAATGATGTCCGAATACATCCTCATCTCAGGGTACACGCTGACCAGGTACCATCGGAAGGTCTTGCACTGCAGTTGCTTCCTCAGAGCCTTTCGCGCAGTGATGTCCCCGATGTCGATTCCTGAGTCCTGCACCGGGAGGCAAATGCAGAGAGTCAGCCACCGCTGACTTAGAGCTTCTCTCTAAGCCCCACCTCTGAGAGCTGGGGTCTCCAACCAAGATCTCAGGGGATTGACGTGTGAAGAAACCATGTGGGAAGTTAAGTGACACATTTACCACATGTACCTTGAACCCAAACCCTTGGGGCTTCAAAAAGATGATGGAAAAATGGAACTTTTCAATGAAAAATGGAACTTTTCAATGAAAAATGGAACTTTTCAATGAAAAATGGAACTTTTCAATGAAAAATGGAATTTTTCCATGGACTTTTTGAAACCCCCTCATACCACTGTTGTTGTTAAGTGCCCTTGAGTTGGCTCTGACTCATAAAGACCCTGTATAGGTTTCCCAAGGAGCAGCTGATGGGTTCGAGCCACCCTCCTTGTGGCTCACAGTCCATTGCTCATCTTACAATGCCACAATGAACCCATTTGGACTCAGAAAAGTGAGGTCAGCATCGATAGGGCTTGTCATCAAAGGACCTTGAGAAGAAAGATGCCAAATCCTTAGATTTTAAATAAATATATGCAAAATGCAGTCTTGGTATATAGGTTAAGGAAATGGAAAGAAAAGGGTATGAGAAAAGATTTCCCTATTTGACAAGACAAGATGAGAGACACCAGTCTGTGAGATGAGAGGGGCAGGAAAGGGAGGAAAGTTGAAGATAGAATACGACTGATACTAATGTTTTCCATAAAACTCATGATACCTAGGACTTAAAAGTACCAGGCTCTATTTTATATGATTGTTGCTGTTGTTAAGTGATGTCGAGTCAGTTCCTACTCATAGCAACCTTGTATAGGGTTTCCAAGGAGTACCTGGTGAGTTTGAACTGCTGACCTTGTGGTTCAAATCAACCGTGTGGTTCAGTGCTTTATTCCACAGCAGGATTTATATTTATATTTATGTTCATAGTCCCATTCAATTATATGAGATAAAAGTTACATACTCCCCATTTTATAGATGAGGAGTTGAAATAAAGAAAAGTTCGATAACCTCTTTGATAACTTGTCCAAAATCCCACAGCTAACAAACAGGGTTTTTCATCTCCAGGCACTCTATCTGACAATTGGTGTTGTTAAGTGTCGTCAAATTGGCTCCAACCTATAGTGACCCTGTATAGGGTTTTCAAGGAGCAGCTGCTGGGTTTAAACTGCCAAGCATGAAGTTTACAATGACCTTGTGGTCCAGCGCATTATCCTGCAGCACCACACCAGAACTTCATATCTGACAATATTCTGTTGCTATTCATAAGGTTTCAATAGCTAAATATTCAGAAGTAGTCCGCCTCTCCTTCTTCCTAGTCTGTCTTAGTCTGGAAGCTCCACTGAACCCTGTCCACCCTCAGTGACCCTGCTGGTATTTAAAATACCAGTGTCATAGCTTCCAGCATCAAAGCAACATGCCAGCCACCACAGTATGACAAACTAACAGAAAGTTCATTCTCATGGAAGCAGCAGTCAAGAAATCAATTGGCATATTGCATTAGGCAAATCTGCTGCATAAGACCTCTTTAAAGTGTTCAAGAGCAAAGGCGTCAGTTTGAGGACGAAGGTGTACCTGACCCAAGCCATAGTATTTCCAGTAGCTTCAGATGCATGTGAAAGTTGGACGATGAATCAGGAAGAACACAGAAGAACTGATGAATTTGAGTTATGGTGTTGGAGAGGAATATTGAAAGTACAAAGGACTGCCAGAAGAACAAACAAATCTGTGTTGGAGGAAGTACAGCCAGAATGCTCCTTAGAAGCCAGGATGCTGAGACTTCCTCTCTTGTACTTTGGACATATTATCAGGAGGAACCAGTCATTGGAGAAAGACATGCTGCTTGGTAAAGTGAGCAGTCAGCAAAAAAGAGGAAGAGCACCAATGAGATGCACTGGCACGGTGGCAGCAGCAATGGGCTCAAGCATGACAACAATTGTAAAGATGGTTCAGGACAGGGCAGTGTTTTGTTCTGTTGTGCATAAGGTTGCTATGAGTCAGAATCAACTGGAAAGCACGTAACAGCAACAACAAATAAATGGTGGAGCTGAGATTTTAATGTAAATCAACCTGAATCTAGAGTATGTGTCTTTAATCTGACGCTATGCATTTGTAAGATCCTATCCGTCTTCCTGTTGAGACCAAGCCCTTGTGGAATAAAAGCAATATCTCTCTTTAAGCCCAGGGGCCTTAAAGAGAAAACATGCATTCCTTGATTCCCAGGTGCATTGGAGAGGTGGCCTGAGCCATTGTGGGATAACCGTCACAGAGTAGAAATGGTAACATGAACGTGACCACCAATGGGAGGGATGGAGTTGGTGCAAGGAATTGACAGCAGCCATGAGATACAAATCAAGGCAAGAAAGCCATCCTCCCTTGAGCCTTTGGAAGGAGCATGGCACTATGGGTTCCCTGATTTTGGACTTCTGACTTGGGGAATTGTGAGAGAATAAACTTCTGTTGTTTTAAGGCACAAGGCTTATGATACTTCATTATGGTAGTCCTGGGAAACAAATACACTTAGCCACACAAAAAGCTACCCAGAGTCCTGCCTGGGTGTGCAGCAACATAGCAACTGAATTGAGACAACACAGGCTTCCTGGTAGCCAAACATACAGAAAGAGCCACTGTGGATGCGAACAGGAAGCAGGAGCTATACTAGAGTTCCCCAGCCCTGTTTAGGAATATATTGATGCTTTGCTGCAGGCTGACTTCCTGCTTGGTGACAAGCAAGCTGATTTTCAATATAAGTAGAAAGATGTGAGAGCAGGAGGTTCCTTTGAAGGTTCAGAAGCTTGGGGCTGAATGTGGTGAGGGAGCAGGTGAGAGGGTCAGCTGTGAACAGCTCACAGTCCCAGAGGGGACTCAGCAGAGAAGGCCACAGAGCAGGAGGACCTTGGCCAGCAATGGCTTTTTTTTTTTTAAAGGGCAGAAGCAAGAACTTCAACAACTACAATTTAGCTCACACTTTCTATGTGCCAGGCACTGATCCAAGTTGCTACATACACTAACCTATTTTATTCTCAAGGAAGGTGTCATGACAAAAGGTTAAGTAAACAGGTAACAGAAATGCCTATGGTTGAGCTAAGGCTCCTGGAAGGCCAGCACAGCAAGGGCAGACTGGCAAACTCATGGTGGAAACATACTGAGCATAGGTGGTCTACACTTCCTCCCTCCTCTTTCTTTTTCAACTCATGTTTACTGAATGCCTCTTACATCTCAGACAATGTCTTAAACACCGTGCACACAAACAAGACTAAGGCTCAGTCTTTGCCTGGGAGAAGAATCTGAATTTCAATACATTATTGAAATTTGACTTGAGAAATAAATGGGAGATGAAAGACTATTGACTCTTTCCAGAAGTTTGGTAAAAGGTAGGAGAGGGAGTTGAGGCATAAAAGGGAAGAGGTGGATCAAAAGACAGACAGTCTTTTTAAAATAGAGAACACAGATGTTCCTCACCTAAGGCTATATCTTAGGCACTTCACCCTGCCTTTTTGGCTTCGCTCTCCCCCACCCCACCATTAGGTTTGGTTTGAATTACTCCCTGAGGAGTTACAAACACTGAGTTTCATCATTTTCCAATTATTTTTACTCACTCAGCTCTCCCATCCATTGGATCTGATGTCCATTTCAACATCTGTCAGTTTCAGTGGGGAATGGGCTTGGCAGGTTTTTAGCCTGGCATGCAGAGAGAAGGGGGCAGGTGTGTGGACAGGACTCTAGTTCTTCAGCAGAGGCTAGGGGTCTACAGTACCTCACTACTGAGCCTCTGGGGATTTTCTGAGTACGTGTAACATTTTGTCATCACGGGACACCTGCGGAGGAGCTCAGCATCCTGAGCAGAATGCTGTGATCCAACACCCACCACCACAGACAAGTCCAGAAGGCATCCTGGTTTCCTTAGAAACACTCCCACTATCAGAGATGCAATCCTGGGGCTGCTTCATTAGGATAGCCACACCTTTGCTGGTATTTTTTGGTTCCTCATTCTTCCTCTGAACTGCTGAAATCGCACTGATTCCAGAGGTATGCAAGGACTCTTTTCTCCTTTTGTTCCCTTCCCCTCCCGTTCGTCCCATTTTGGCCTAAATGATCCTGCCCATGGCTTAGATGTGGACCTGTAGAATAAGCACTGGATTGCTAACCTCAAGGTTGGCAGTTCAAACCTACCAGCTGCTCCTTAGAAAACTTATTCAGGGTTGCTAAGAGTTGAAACTGACTTAAGACACTTAACAACAATAACAACATTGGCTCAGCTTCCTTTCTCAATCACTTAGAGCAATATTAGCTTGGTGCTTGAGTTTGCAGAGTTCAAAGAGCAGGGATATCATATGGAAATTTGAAGCAGTTTCTTCTTTACTGGAGCTGAGGTTTTCTAGAACTTTCCCAAGGGGAAGGCATGGCCTTGGGAAGGAAAAAGGAGGGCATGCAATTAATAGCTTCATCTCACACAACATGCAACATCAGCAATGAACTCCAGGCAGACAAGCTGCTAAGCAGGTTGGAACCCTGTGACCAGCATCTGTTGTGTTCTCCCACCTCAGCAGATGTTTTCATATGACAGACATCAAGGTTGAACAAAATGACTAGAGGAACATCTCTTTTCCTCTGACAAACTCTTAAGTGCAGGTGATTAAAAGATGGGAGACCCTGGTAGGCACTGAGACTAGAAGCAGCCTGAAGTAAGTCCTGAATAATTTCTTTCTCCTACTGAGGGTTCTCATGAGAGTATGTCCCATCACCATCCAGATGGCTCAAGAAATCTCCAAACCAAAAACCCAAACCCAGTATTGTCCAGTCGATTCCAACTTATAACCCTTCAAAGACGTATGTTGTTGTTGTTGTTAATTGCCACTCAGTTGGTTCAGACTCGTAGCGACCCTTAATAGGTTTTCTGAGAAGCAGCTAGTGAGCTTGAAATATTGACATGGCAGTTAGCAGTCCAGTGCTTAACCTACAGTGCCACACTAGGACTCCCAAAGACATATTGGTGGTGGTGGTCATGTGTCGTGGAGTTGGTTCTGATGCATAGTGACCCTGTACAGGGTTTCTGAGATATTATAAATTGTGACAAGAGCAGAAAGCCCCATCTTTCTCCCACAGAATAGCTGATAGTTTCGAACTGCTGACCTTGAGTTTAGCAGCCCAACTTGTAACCACTACACTACCAAAGACATATAGATATTCCTTATTGTTCTAGTCAAAACTTTAAGGGAGAAGCTTGAATCCAATCTAGGAGAAGATCCAAAGTGCATGTGTGAATGTAGTGATTACTAGGGTTTCTGAGGAGTCCTGGTGTGGCACTGTGGACTAATGCATCAGACTGCAAAGTCATTTGAACCGCAAGGTCAGTGTTTCAAGCTCACTATCTGCTGCTCACTACAGTGTTTCAAGCTCACTACACAGGGTTGCTATGGGCTGGAATTGACTCCACGGCACTTAACAACAACAACAAGGGTTTCCGAGAACCCCTGGTATGGCATTGTAGGATAAGCACTCGGCCATAAGGTTGGTTTGAACTGCAAGGTTGGCAGTTCAAACTCACCAGCTGCTCCTTGGAAATCTTATACAGGGTAGCAATGAATTAGAACTGACTCCACAGCACTTAATAACAACAATAGAGTTTCTGAGGAGGCCTGATAGGATAAGCACTATGCAGGATCTCTATGGGTAGGAAGTGACTGGATAGCACTTAACAACAGGGTTTCCAAGGAGTGGCTGGTGAGTTTGAACTACTGACCAAGGGAAACCCCATATAGGGTTGCTATGAGTAGAACCCGACATGATGGTACTTAACAACAACAACAACCACACAACACATAATGTTGGTCAGACATGCCAGAGGATCTGAGGACTTGGGAGCCGGAAGGAAGCTTAGAACCAGTTGGTCCAATTTTCTCATTTCAAATGAGGAAACTCAAGTCTGGAGAAGGATTAAAACAATGATTAAAGCAGTTTGCTGATAACCAAAGGGTCAGTGGTTTGTACCTGCTACCTGCTCTGTGGGAGGAAGATGTGGCAGTCTGCTTCTATAAAAATGTATAGCATTGGAAATGCTATAGGACATTTCTTCTCTATCCTGGAGGCTTGCTAAGAGTCAGAATCAACTTGACCAACAGTGGGTTTGGTTGTTGCTTTTTTAAAGTCCAGAGGAAAAAATTCTTCCTCAAGCAAGCTGCCTGGGGTGGGATTAAGAAATGTTGTTACCGTTAAATACCATCTAGTTGGTTCCAACTCAGAGTGATCCTATACAGGATATCTGGGGAGTGTCTGGTGGGTTTCAATCATGGACCTTCCAGTTCCCAGTCTAGTACTTATCCTACAGCACCACACCAGGACTCTATAGACAGCCCCTTTTCTTCAACATGTAGGGTCTTTGGGGGTTAAAGCCCTTCTAGCATGGAAAATCAGATTCAGGTTGACCCATAGGAAAAAGAGTCTTCTCCTGTGTTTTTTCTTCCCCCAGCAAACCCCAAGAAAATCATATTTTCAGGGCATCCCTACCTCTTGGGGTATGTTCCATGCCATGTAGACATGGCTTTTAAATTCATCCATCCAGACTTCAGCCACTCTGAGGGCGTTCCTGCGCACATGGGCAGTGAGGTCCTCGGTGTAGGGCTTGTGGGCTCGCTCAATGTGGGCAATCCTGGAGCAGGGCAGGACCTCCACACTCCCACCACACTGCCACACCTGTAGAAGATATGAAGCCACTTGTCAGTGCTCAGAACTGCACCCATGACCCGACCACATGGGCACGTGGAAAATCCATCCTCTTCTCCCTTTAACCAGGCCACTGACAGCCTAGAAAGTAACCCGTAGCTCATTTATAGTCCTATATTGTTATTGTTAAGTGCCACTGAGGAGCTCTGGTAGTGTAGTGGTTATGAGTTGGGTAATCTCACAGTCAGCAGTTCGAAACTAACAGCTGTTCTGCAGGAGAAAGATGAGGCTTTCTGCTCCCACAAAGATTTACAGCCTTGGAAACCCTGTGCAGGGTCACTATAAGTCAGAACCGACTCTATAGCACACCACAACCAAGTGCCATTGAGTCAGTTCTGACTCATAGGATTTCCAAGGAGCAGCTGGTGAGTTTGAACTGTAGACCTTTTTGTTCAAACTGACCTTTTGATACAGTGCTTTATCCCAAAGCACCACACCAGGACTCCTATAGTCCTATTGTTGTTGTTAAATACCATCTGTCTATAGTCCTATAGAAGAATGTTTATTGAATCATTAACTTGTGTTTCTTCTTGTTGCTGTGTATTTTGCCAGCAAAGATTGAAGTACCCTCTCTCTCTACTCATCCCACCACCCAACCCTGCTCCCTACAAAGGAAAAACCAGATATGTTGTTACCAAAGATGTAGGTAGGTTCTCCTTGTCCCTGGGGGAAATCTAGGGATTTCCCAACAAATAAATCACTCTTTAAATGGACCACATGGGCCAGGACAAGGATCAGTCATTAGCACACAAAGCCAGATACCCTCTCCTCCCCCATTGTTCTTGGACCTGGGGTTCTAATAGAACCCAAGTACCCAAGTGAGAGGAAAGCTTCACAAAGAAGGGAATGATATTAAACTTCTCAATTTGCTTTAAAAAATCAAGAAAAGTGACCTTCTTGCAAAAGAGCAGCGTCTTAGAATTCTTGCTCCAACCATTGCAGATACTGACTTTCTGATGCTATTGAACATATGTGTATGCCTATTGATGTCTCTGTTTAGAATTGTCTCCACCTGAAAAAATCCCTCTCTCAAGACCCTGACCACATGATCCCTCTGTAGTGGCATTTTTGCTCAATCCTCATGGCAGAGCTGTTTATGTCACAATGTAGTTGCTTAGAGACAGCCTCCCCCAACGACTATTCCTAGAGGGAAGAGTCTGCATCTTATTTATATCTCATCTTTAGCACGTAACCTAGTAGATACTTTACTTTTTTATAAGTACTTGTTGAGTAAATAAAGAAATTAATAAAACCAGTTGCCACTGAGTCTGTTCAACAAATGATGACCTCACGTGCGTTAGAGTAGAACTCCGGTTAGTAGAGTTTTCAATGGCTAATGGCACTGTGGGTTAATTCACCGGACTGCAAGGTCAGTTTGAACCGCAAGATCGACGTTCAAACTTACCAGCTGCTCCTCAGAAACACTATTCAGGGTTGCTATGAGTCGGAACCAACTCTTAGGTACTTAACAACAACAACAATTCTTAACAACAACAACAATTCTTATATATCACTAGGCCTTTTTTTTTTTTTAATGCGTCTGGTTGGATTCATACTACCAATGTTTCAGTTAGCCACCCAACACATTGACTTTTTGCACAGCCTAGGAACTCCAAATAAATAAATGATTGATGCTTAAAAAATGTGAATTGAATCTGAAGACACAGGTCATAGCTGATGAGTGAGGCTTTTGAGGGAAAGCAGACAAGATCTTTTGGTCTACAGTCGTGGTCACTTGTCAGGCACCGTCAGCATGACAATTCAGCATAAAATGTTCACAAGCTTAACATGCATCCATCAGTAACAACAGGTCTGGGTCTGAGATAAAGTAAGCTTCAGATTTCATTTAACTCCTTCTGTGGTAGTCCGAGAGAGAAGGCCTTCCATTCCACTGGTCTGTACCAGCCCAGCTGTTCTCTGTAGGCTGGTGGAGTTGGAAGGTAATTTACTGATCTGCCACTAATCTAAGCTGGTTTTACACTTAATAGATTATTTAGCACCAATGGAAAGGAAACAAGCATTCTCACTGAGTGTCCACAATGTGCCAGGCACCAGACTGTTCATGTGGGGAGGCAGTGAGTATAACATGATGGGTATGAACAAAGGGTTTGGAATCAGATTGCTTGGGTTCAAATCCTAAACTGTTTCATATTAGTTATATGTGAATATAACTAATATATATATATAACTAATAATATAGCTAATTATATATCTCGGCCACATCACTTGATCTCACTGTGCTTTAGTTTCCTCATCTACAATAAGGATCCCAAGAGTGCTTACCTCCTCAGATTGTTGTAGGGATTAAAGTGATTCTATGGAAAATGCATAGAAAAATAGCTGGCACATACCACGAGCTGCCATCTAGTTAACACTATGTCAACAGAGCCACATGCTTTCTGGTCCCGTGCCATCCTCATGATGGGTTGTGGATGGGATTGGTGTGATCTATAGGGTTTTTATTGGCTAAGTTTCCACAAGTAGATTGCCAGACCTTTCTTTCTTGCCTGTCTCAGTCTGGAAACTCTGCTGACCTGGTTAGCATCATTGCTGTTGTTGTGCCATTGAGTCAGTTCTGACTCATAGCGACCCTTTAGAGGGTTTCCGAGGCTGTAAATCCTTACGGGAGCAGAAAGCCTCATCTTTCTCTCGTGGAGTGGCTGGTAGTTTCAAACTACTGACCTTAAGGTTCACAGCCTGATTGGTAACCACTAAACTACCAGGTTAGCATCATAGCAACATACGAACCTCCACTGAAGGCTGAGTGGTGGCTGTACAAGGGACACATTGGCCAGGAAGCACCTGGGTCTCTTGCCTAGAAGGTGGGGATTCTACCCTTGAACGCTCAGTGTTTCTTAACACTTTCTGTTCTGGTTGTTAGTCGATTCTCACTCCTGGTGTGTGTGCAGAGTACAACTATACTCCATAGGGTTTTCACCAAGCCTGTCTTCCAAGGTACCTCGGAACGTGTTTGGGCTTCCAGTCTTCTGACTGGTTGTTGCTGTTGTTAAGAGTTGTCAAGTTGGTTCTGACCCACAGTGACCCTGTATAGGGTTTCCAAGGAGCGGCTAGGGAGCTTGAACCACTGAACGTGCAGTGCAGACCGATCTTGCAGTCCAGCACATTAACCCACAGCACCACATCTGGAAATGAGTGGTTAATCATCTGTGCCACTCAGGGACTTCTTGGAACATAATTGTTGGTAAGTACCATTGAGTGGGTTCCAACTCATTGCTGTTGTAATTAAGTGCTGTCGAGTTGGTTCCCAATCATAGTGACTCTGTATAGAGTTTCCAAGGAGTGGCAGGTGATCTTGAACCACCAACCTTGAGGTTCAAACTGACCTTGCAGTCCAGCACATTAACCCACAACACCACATTAGGACTCCATTGTGACTCATTTACACCTTTATGGGTTTCCTAAGTGTGACTTATGGGTTAGAACCATCAAATTTCATGTTAGGGTCCAGTGCTTATCCCACAATACCATACCAACACATAAAAAGCACTCATAAATCCCAGCTATCATCATACAAATCACACAGTGGGATCTTTAGAATAGCACTGTGTGGTTAGTGTTATTATCTCCAACTGCACATGAGGAAACTGAGACTAAAAAGATGTCCCTTATCCAAAACCACACATTTGGTACTGAAGAAAAAAAAACAACCCATCTGTCTGACCATCAGGCCATTGCTTCCCTGATGATGACCATGCCTTGGAACTAGTTCTCACACCCAGAGGTGGCTCTAAGGAGCAGCAGAGATTGTGGGCCTTCATTCCCATGACCTATGTGTTCTGGGGACTGGGCTGATTTCCAATTTACTTTGCTCCAATTTTCAATGAAAGTCTGTGAATGCTGTGAATATGTTATTGACAACACAGAAAGTCTAGGTAATGCTTTTTTTTGCAGAGGGAACAGAAGCTATTACTTGACATATTTCAACAGTACAATGCAGAACATGATTCATAATAAAGCTCTTTTATTACGAGACCTGATTCTCAAAGAGTTGTCTCAGCATTTCACCTTGGAGTTGAGCACATCTGCCATTATTCCAATCAGAATGTGGCGGCAACACCCAACCTAGCCCATAGGCACACAGTACAGGGAACAACGTGAATTCACTGCCTAACTCTTGAATTCCTGCCCCTCCCCTCCCTCCCACAACATCTCTGTGGCCACCACCCTTATCCAGACCACCTTCATAACTTATCTGGACACCACAGCAGCTGCAGCGATCTTTCCAGTGTGTGAATTGAGTCATGTCCCTAGCCTGCACCAAGTCTGCCCTAGCCCAGCCCCAAAGGCTCCTCAGGACTTGGCCCCTCTCCATCCTTCCAGCCTCAGGCTAGCTGCTCTCTGATACACTATGTCATAGCCTCACTGAGGCTGTTGGTTCTTCAACTTGCCGGGTTTTCTCTTTCCTCTGTATTTTTTGCACATGCAGTGATACAGCCCCACATCTGTCTGACTTCTCCTGACTCATCCTTCAGGTATCAGTTTTGCATCACTTCACCAACCCCCTTCACCTGGACTAGGGGTCTGCCTGGTCTTCCCCAGGTCATAGCACTATTGCAATTGTTTGTTTAATTTTCAACATATTGCCCAAGTGCTTTACCACATTCTCCTTCAGACACATGCTAAATGGTGTCCACACCAGATCCTGGTCTCCCAGCAGAGGTGCGACACCTGGGCTTTGGAATAAGATTGCTGACTGCTTTGCTGGGTAGCAGTAGCTGTTGTGTTTAAACATCCCACTTTGGAATCAGAGAAAACTGGATTCAGATTTTACTTCTGCCACGTGCTGACTGAGTCACCCTTGGAAGGTAGCTTCTCCCAAGACTAATTTTCACTCTCTGTGAACAAGGAAGCTAGAGTAGGCCAACATGTTTAGCTCCGTGTCTACCTCAATGTGAGTGTTACATGGAGGACAGTCAAGGAAGTGGACTCATCATGGACTTGGGGACAGG